TGGTTTAAAGTCCTTCTCACTAAGTTAGCAAGTCTGTCTGCAAAGATGCTCTTTCCTGTCTTCATCAGGTGGATCCGGTCTCTTCCTAGCAATCCTTTTTGGAACATCATCTCATGGTTAAAGAAGCCAAAGCCCTGCTGGTGACACCACCTGTACAGCCATGCATTGATCTGCAGGATTCATCTGCTCCTGCCTGGGCCCTTTCCCTTAACTGAAAGGATCGAGATGAATACCACCTGAGCCCCTGTCCCCTTCATCCTTGTACCCAGATCCCTGTAGTCACTTTTAATCTGCTCAGGCTCTCCCTTGGCAGTATTGTTGGTGCCCACATGGATGAGCAGCATGGGGCAGTAGTCAGAGGGTTGGATGAATCTCGGTAATCCCTCTATAACATCTTGGATCTGGGCTTCAGGCAAGCAGCAGGCCCCCTCTTCCCCCAAGACAACAGATCAGGCCAGCAGGTGGGTGCTTCTGTCCTTGGCAGAAGGGAGTCTCCAACTACCAACACCTATCACTTTTTGGTGGTGGTGGACTTGTGATCTTTCCCACTTCGAGGAAGCCTGGCCTGTCCTCATCCACCAATGGAATATGCTCCTCCCCCTCGTTGTTAGGGCTCCATATCTGATCACATCACCTCTTAGTATTTTGTTGGATAAGTTAACAGTAGGCATGCACTGATTTAAGATTTTTTTGGCTGATACTGTTAGCTGATTATTAACCAGCCATATTGGATAATACTGATCCGATAGCCAATATGTAGCCTGGCAGCATGGAGAGCAGCATCTGTTCATTAAGTCTGTGGGGGAGGCAGATTGAGACCACCACAGTGAGAGAGGGAATGGGGCTGGGGCAGGAAAGAAGCCTGCACCACCCCTGGCCCTGAGCCTGCAGTGAGAAGCCTGCCTTTGCCCCATGGAGCTGCCCCCCTTCCCCACCCCCTGTGCCCTCTGGACGACTCCTCCATGACTCTCCCCCCCACCCCAGCTGGGGAGTACCTGCCCCTACCCCAGCCCCATTCCTTCCTTCACTATGGGGGTCTCAATTGCCCCCTCCCACATCCTTACCCCCCCAAACCTAGTGGCCAGACACTGCTTTCCATGCTTCCAGGCTGCAGTCCTGGCCATGTGCATGCTGCAACTACGTGCATGTACTCAGCATTTATCAGTGACATTATTGGCCACACCAGCCAAAAAAAGCCAATTGCTGATAATGTCAGTTTTCCTTTTATTAGTGCCAGTCTGATATATCGGTGCTCCTCTAGTTAAAAAGGTCAAACTTTCTACGCCTCTCACTATAAGGCCTAAAGGCTTGTTTTCAGATCTCAAATAATTTTTTTCCTTGTAATTCTTTTCTGAACTCTTTCCAAATTTGCAACATCCTTGATGAAATACGGATACTAGAATGGAACACAGTATTCCAGTAATTATCTCACTAATGCTGAATACAAAGGCAATAATTCCCTACTTTTCCTTGATATTCCCCTGCTTAAATGTTCAAGGGGCATGTTTTTCCCTTTAGCTATAACATTGCACTAGAAACTCATGACAGTAATCAGTTGAATTATTATGTTTAAATTCTTTCGAGTAGAATTGTTATTAGTATGACCAACATTTTCTGTTCCTTAATGTATGACCTTGCATATAGCTGTATGAAAGAGCGTGCTGTTTTACAACTTACTTGGCGATATAGGTTACTATATACACCTTGCATATTACTGTTTCTTACCTTAGGATTGTTGTAGGATTGTACCTTAGTTGTCTTCACACTGTTACTCAAAGAATGTTTCAAAATATGAATATGGTTGTTGAAAAGAGTCCGTTCTTGTTACTCTCCACTGATTGAGACGCATGTCTTATGAGGAAAGGCTGAAAGAAACTAGGGATATTTAGTCTGGAGACAAGAAGACTGGGAAAGAATTTAATAAGTCTTCAAATGTCTGAAGGGTGATTTTAAAGAGGATGGAGGTAGATTTGTGTCCCTGGCTGTAGGGGCATGTTTAAGAGCAATAGCCTCAAACTGTGTCAGAGGAAATTTAGGTTGGAGATGGGGAAGAAGTTTCTGACCATAATGATGGTTAAGCCATTGCAATAGACTACCTAGTGAAGTTGCGGAATCTTTATGCATGGAAACTTTTAAGAGCAGTTTAGATAGACACTTAACTATGATGGTTAGTCAGGAATGATCCTGCCTTGAGCAGGGGGCTGGAATAGATGACCTCCTTAGGTCCCTTCCAGCCCTACATTCTTATGATCCTATAGTTACAAGTAACTAATAAGATTAATATTATTGTACTTAATTCACACTGCAAGAGAGCATCCTTGAAATAGGTTTTATTCTGAACAAAAAAAATCATGTAATTTATCATTTTAGGTATATGCAATAGAACACAGTTCCATATTTTGGTTATTTATCAGATATTTCCATGGTTTACCTTGTGGCAGGCCAGTAGGGTAAGCCACCTGTCTCACTGAGCCTGACCACCTTCCAGGCTCCAAGTACCTCCCTGGGGGTGCCTTACATCCAGCCGACCCCCTTCCCGGAGCACACCTGCAAGCCTGGGGGCAACACCGCCACCACCCAGAGTCTGGACTGATCTTGGACCTGCACCCTCTGGGAAACACAGGTTTAGTAGTCCTTGAGAGAGTACTTGATCCACTACAAGAACTTGGGGTGCTTCTTTCAGTCTGAAGCACAAACAGTGGTCTCCCTTAGTCAGTGTAGCAGAGTGGGGTCCTAGGGGTGGCTGTGAACTCCCCTAGTGCCCCCCACCATGCCAAGGTGTTATTGAAAGCACCCTAACAATCTTTCCTGCCACGTCTTTGCTATTAATAATGTTTAAGGGAGTCTCAGTCTTAGTGCTATCTTGGGTGACTTGGTGCACCCTGGCTTTATGGGCTATGCGTGACTCCAACCACCCCTGTACCACACCCCAAGCCTCGCAGATGTACCGGGCGTTGTCTGGTCAATTTCCCTCTCAGCGCCCACCCTGGGGCTTCTCGCTGGCTTGTCTTGCCGCCACCGCCTACGCTGGGGCTTCTCGCCGGCTTGTCTCGCCACCACCACCCACACTGGGGCTGGGGTCAATGCACCCCTGAATGATGTGCCCTCTCTGGCACTGGGGTCCCCACACTACCGTGGAGCCCCTATGAGGCCTCCTCCAACCCCTAATAGCCTCACCCAGTCCTCCAGTGTAACGACGACAACAACAAAACAATAACATAAGTCCCTGGGCTATCACATAAAATCTAAGCCGCCTGGCTAACCATCATTCAAATTCCTACCAGGGAATTCTCTACCCGGTATCCGTGAACAGAAGCTGCTCATGTCATCAGGCTTCTCTGCTCTGCTTGCTTCCGCAGAGCTCCTTCTCCCTTGGCTGCTAGTTGAGAGAGAGAGAGAGAGCCCTCACCTTTCTGTCTGAGTCTTATAGTGGTCAGCCCTGTCCCTTTCGGTCAGCTGACTCATCAGGTGTTGGCCCTTAGCTCCTCTTGGTTGCCCCTAGCAACCAGCACCTGAGCCCATGCTACTGCCTTCCAGGTAGCACGCACCTTAGTGCCCTGCTACAGTCAGCCATACCAAGGGGACCCCAAGGCATAATCTAAACCCTCTCCCAATGAATCTCCCATGCTGTGAACAAAGGAGAACTTTGTTGGTTACAAGCAGTAGGTTTGGAATAGGGTACAGGGTACAGCAATATCAGCGAAATCCCTTAGAACAAACTGTGGCATGGTAGCCTTTGATCACGCATCTGAGTTATCTAGTTAGATCTCAAGTAGCTTACTCACAAGTATCATCCAGAGGCAGGTGGAGATTTCCTCTGGAGGCAAGCAGTTTGTTGACCATGAGTTTCAAGAGAGAGAGCAAGTTTCAGATGGTCCAGCTTCTCTGAGAGTTCTCATCATGGCAGCTGCCCCACCTCTTGAGTGGTCCTTAACTTATGACCTCATTTGCCTGATCCAATGAAGGCCGGCAATTGTTGGCTGCCAATTCAGACCAATATGAAATGCATTACTGGTTGCTGGGTAGACTGGCAGGGTCTCTAGCCCCCTCCCAGTCAGGATAAAATTGCTTAGAACAATAGGGAGTTTAAGCCCCCACCCAGGTGTGTGAGGCCAGTCATGTTGGCAGAGGGGAGCAGGTTTCCCCCTCCCTCAGGAATGTATCCAGCTCAGGTTACAACTCAGGGTTACCTGAAGCTGATGTGGCCAGGGGTGTCTGCTCTCTGCAGTGACCATGGTAACCAAATTGTCAGATTAGGCATCCACCTGACAGCAGAGTTTGGGGAGAGACAGAGATGGCATTCTGCCACATACCTCATGCATGCAAAGGTTTGGAAGTTCAGTGGTAACAGTGACTTCAGTTAAATGTTAACTCTTTCCACTGAAGACAGCTTGTGGCTTCTTTCCCTTAAGAATCAATGGAAATTGGCAGTCATCTGGTATCAGGGACATACAGGAAGTTGTGGAATCATTTTTTCATCTGTTTTGTTTATAAGTTAATTATTCTGGTTGTTTGTAATACTTTTCAATGTAAGTACTTTAATATGACTTTTTAAGTTGGTAACAGCTTTTAAAATTTCACTAAGCACATAAAATTACACTTGTGTAACTCACATATTGTGCAAATACACCAAAAGACCTGGTGCATATGTGTGTGAAGGTACTGGATGCAAAAACTCTTCTTTTGGAATAGCGTGAATTAGGGTAAGTTTAATGTTTAGCGATTGTCTTTTATATTCAGTTTAAGTCTGTAAACTGGGTTTCACGTGTGCATCTTAATTGCCATAAGATTTAAATTAAATACACAATTTATAAATAGCTCAGAAATCTTAGAAGACTGAAATGAGTAAAATAGCCAAAACAAATCAGTGTGTATGTAAGAATGAGGAGATGCAGAATGAAGTATAAAGTTCATGGTGCACTCTGGAGAGTGTGTTACAATTATACATTGCTTTTCAAAGTAGTTGAATGACATTTAAATGACATTTATCTGTCCTACAGAAATCAAAGGAAAATAGAGTAATCTGTAAGCGCTGCAAGACAATGCTGGGAGAGGCAGTATCATCAGGTATGGATTACACAAACCAAATTGTACTTAGTTGTCTCAGTTACTAAACATTTGAAGTTAAAAAGTTCTGGACAAAAATAATTTATCAACAGGTTTCTGAGTTAATTCCTGCATTACTTCTCACTCATTTTTGGAAAGGGTGAGAGTATTGTTTCCACTATCAAAACTGTAAAGTGACTGGCCCAGGAACTTACTTTGATCCTTGTTTCTGTAACACATCTGGTTAATTCCAAAGGATTTGGAGGCCTGCCAGTATAATTCCAATATTTAAAAAGGATGAAAGCTGTGACCTAGGAACTGTAGCTATGTTAGCCTGAGCAAAATAATGGAATGGTTAATTTGCGACTTGATCAACGAAATATTAGAGACTATAAAATATAAATGAATACCTGCTAGCATGGCTTCATAGAAAGCAGGTCTTGTTAAAACAATACTGTTGCCTTTTTTCTGTAAGATTAGTCATTGTTGGTAGTCTATTGATTAAAAAATGACAGTCTTCCAGTAAATAGGGAAATCATCAATGAGTCCATAAATGCCCATGGCAGCAAAGTCAAGAGCGAGGTTTCCAGGCTAACAGTAGGGGAAATAACAATAAATCCTCAACAGCAGAGCAGGCAGATCAATAAACAATATGTCACAGTGTCTGTAAAAGTGGATGAAGGCTGCAGCAGAATAGAAACCTCTGATTGTCTTGGTTTTCCTTGCCGTCAGATTACGGTTTCTTCCCTCAACATATTGTGTGGTTTCTGATGTGCAAGAGCATCTCCATAGTAAAAGATATTCACGGGCATCTTTCTTCAATAGGAAGTCCTGCAGTGATGAACAAATGGTGATGGGGACAAGTGCTAGTGATTACCAGAAGCCTGTAGTCACAGACCTACAGTGAGGTGATGATTGCATGATGATCATTGTGTACTTGGCTTGAGAGTGAGTTGTGCAGTTCAGCAGCTGCATTCTTGATGAGCAGGCCTATTTAACATGCACTCTGCTCGCCCCATACAGAGAGGAGGCTAGAAAAGGTTCCCTCAATGCTGTCTTACTTCACCTGACTGGACAACTGTATCCAGTGGGTCCCTCTATCTGGGGTGCAAATAAAGTGATAAGTTTGCAACCTGGAATGTTTGCATCCTCAGGGACAATCGTAACAGTGACCAACCAGAACAAAGAAGCATACATGGTCAGAGAACTGTGCTTTGTGAGACCAGACACACAAGAAAGGGGCAGCTCACAGGACATTGTGGTGACCCACGGGGCATAGTGGTGGCTACATCTTTCTTTTGAAAAGGAAAAGCCAAAAAATATAGATACATCCATGACATTGGTTTTGCTATCAAGACCAAGATTTGTTACTCAGGTACTGGAATTTCCAGTTGGCATCAATGAGCATTTCAAGTCCCTTTGTCTTCACCTGACCAACAGACAGCATACAAGAAGCATATGCCCTGGCCCTTCATACAGATGACAAAACAAAAGAAGAATTCTCTTCTCAGTGTTACCAAATGGTGTTATTTGTCCCCAGAGAAGATAAGGTAATTCTTCTTGGTGATTTCAGTGCTAGTGTGACAGGGACTCTGAGCTATGGAAAGGAGCACTTGGAAAGGAAGGGTGGGAATAGTCAACGGAGATAGAATTCTTCTCCTGAACAGGTGTTTAGAACATGATCTCATCACCACAAACTCCTTATTCTGCCAGAGCAACAAATTGAAGTACACCCCCTAACAACACTGGCACCTGATTGACTACATCATAGTGCATGTCTAGACCATAATGATGCCTGTATTACCAGAGCTATGGAAAGTGCAGAGGACTGCTAAATGGATCATTGTTTGATGCTTTCTGTCATGTCTATTCATCTTGTCCCAAAATGATGTAAACAAAAGAAGAAACTAAGGAAGAGGTTCAATATCGTGTGCTTAAAAGACCCTGCTTTAAATGATCCTCTTCAGCCATGCCTCCGTGAGAAACTCTCCAACGTCCCTGATGATCTTGATGCTGATAGCAATGAGAGAGCCTCAAGAAAGGCATCCATGAGGCATGTGAAGAATCTCTAGGTTTCTCCACAAAGAAACATTAGGGCTGTTTCTGTAAGAATGATAGGGAAATTCAAGTGCTCATTGACATAAAAAAAGATTCTTCAAAGTTTGGTAGAATGACATCAACTTCAAACCAGAAATAAAACACTTTATTGTAGTTTCTATTAGTTTGCTCAGCACAACAAAACTATCTATGAGCTGAGCACACATGGAATTGTCCCTCTGAAATGCAAAGATGACACAGCACTTTCTAAAGACGGTTCCACCATCAGTACCCAGTGGAAAGAGTACCTCAATGTTAGAATCTAGGTTCAGGAGCTCCTGAAGACAAAGCCATTCCACAACCTTGAGGACAACCTTGCAGATCCACAAACTTATGAAGAGGCCTTGAAAACAATTAAGCCAACGAAAAACAACAAGCCATGTAGTCCTGTTGGAATGCTAGCTGAAACTGTATAGGCAAGGTGAAAAAAAACTCTCTCACCAACAACACATTTTTATTATGAAAATCTGGAAACATGAACAGATTCCCAGTGACTTGAGAGATCCCAAAGTTGTTACCATAATCAAGAAAGGAGATAATTTCTGCAATCAATTCTGTTAACAGACTACATTTCTGTCCATGTAGGTCCTCACCTGCATTCTCCTCAAGACTCACCTTCTTTATGGAAGAGATTCTACTTGAGTTCTGAGACCACCCAGTGGCAGAATAGATACAATCTTTGTTGCTAGACAGCTGAAGGAAAAGTGACTTGAGCAACACCTAGATCTTTGCATGACCTTTATTGACCTGACTGAAGTCTTGGATTCAGTCAACAGAGAGGCCATGGCAGATTCTGATGCTATTTGGATGCCCATTGAAATTATTACTATCATCAGACTTCTTTTTCATGATGGCACAACAGAAGCTGTCCTAAGCAGTGGCTCAGAAATGAACTCCTTCTCTACTAATACTAAAATCAAGCAAGGATGCCTGATTGCATCAACTCTCTTTTCCATCTATATTGCAGCTATTCTGCATCTCATTACGGATAGACCTCCTTCTGGAGTCAGCATCCAGTGTCACATGGAAGGGAATGTCTTTAACATCAATTAATTATGTTCCAAATCCAAGGTAATCAACACCTCCATTAGTGGTCTTCAGTATGCTGAAGATTGTGTTGTGTGTGTCCACTCAATTAAATACCTCCAGGTTGCTCTTGGTTGCTTCTGCAAAGTGCATAAAATGCTTGATCTCTCTGCCAAATTCACAAAAAAAAAACCAAGATTCTTTACCAGCCTACCCAAAACCAACTAGCTGTAAGATTACACATCTTGATAACACTTTTATTATATGGAATTAACAGGACAAACAGTTCTTATTCCATTATTTTTATCCATATTTGCCAATATATTTTTCAGTGATCAAGGTGAGACAGAATCTTATCCAGTAAAGGTTTCAGGTGATAAAAGATTTGTGGGGTAGTAAGCAGTGAAACAAAATAATTAGGGCTGCCAAACAATTAAAAAATGTGATCACAATTAGTTATACAATTAGAAAAATTAGCCACGGCTATTGCAATTTTAATTGTACAGCTAAAAACTCAAAATTATGTGCAGAAGAACTCAAAATGATGCAAAATTATATAGGTACTTTGTATGGTTGGGGGTGGTGTGGGGGTGTGTGTGGGGGAGGTGGAATTTGTGAAGGTGTGGAGGCTGTGGGGGTGTGTGTGGGGTTCAGAGTTGGGGGTCGGAGGGGGTCCCTGCATGCCCTGGCAGGATGCGGGATACTTAGAATCATGAGTGAGAGGCAGCAGCATGGCTGTGGGGCTGTGGCTTGAGAGTGAGGGGCAGACAGATGTACACAGACACAGACCTAGCATATAAGTTTGTGGAGGGAAGGGGGTGGAGGGGCAGATAGAGGCCCCAGTGATGAGAGAGGGAGTGGGGCAGGAACAGGGGTCTGGAGTGAATGGCGCCCCGGGGCTGGGTTAGGTTGTGGGACGGCGCTGTGTGCTGCTTGTCCAGGGGCCCGGGCGGTGGGGCATGGCTCCTCGCCACTGCATGCACCCCCAGGGAGGTATGCAGGGGGCACAAGCCCCCCAGATTTGTGCACGGGGCAGAGGTGGGCTGCTGGCTGGGGCTCTCTGCCCTGCTATCTTTGCCCTAGGAGCTGTGCGCTGGCTGCACCACATATCCTTTGCTCGCCCGACTGCAGGAGGCACAACTTGGCATCATGTGGCTTCCAGGGTAAAGGCAGCAGGGCGCAGAGCCCCAGTCCACAGTGGGCAGCCTGCCTTCGCCCTGTGCAGAAATCTGGGGGGCACATGCCCCCATGCCTCCCCTGGGGTTCCATTTACCCCCACGCCTGCCCCTGCCCCACTTTCTCCCTCACCATGGGGGCCTCGATCTGGCCTCCCAACTGCTTCCCTACCCCATGCTCCTTCCCCTCCACAGACTTACCTGCAGAGCATCGCTCTACGCATCGCTAGGCTCCATTCCTGGCCATGTGGCTGCTTGTCTGTGTCTGTCCATGCGCCCACTCTCCCCTGCTGCAGGTGCCCAGGCTGCTCTGTCACTCCTCTGCTCTGCCATTGCTACCCTGCTGAGCAGCCCAGAGGTGGCGGTGACGGTGGTGGTGTGGGCTCCAAAACCATGTATACAATTAACTTGTTAAAAAAATAAATGCAAGAACTGATTAACACGTTAATCTCGCACGTTAGCTGCGATTAATTGACAGCCCTAAAAATAATGTTGCAAAGTGGTCTATATAACAATAAAACAAAATGTGTTTTAATAGAGCCAAATTCAATTTAATACCCCTGGGAGCAAAGAATGCAGGCTATCCCTATAGGATGGGAGACTGTGTCTTGGGAAGCAGCAGCTCAGGAAAGGAGGTAGGGTCCTAAGAGATAACTGCTTTAGTTTGAACTCTTGAGTACAGTCTGTGGTAGAGAGAGAGAGAGAGTGCAGTCCTTTGATAGATCAAAAGTGGGAACATTGAGTGGAAATAGTGAACTTATCATGCCTCTGTTGTTAAGGTTTTTTGTCAGTTTGGGTGCACAGAATGTGGGAACACTGGAGAGATTTTAAGGAAGGCCACCAACATTATGCCAAGATTCAAAACAAGCCCTATGATATAAGAATTAAGAAGTTCTGTCTGTTGATCTTATCAAGGAAAATTTTGGAAACTGATCCAATTGCTGTGTAATAGAGAGCAGTTCAGTCTTGTTGATAAAGGCATAGCAAGATCTAGTGGCTGGAAGTTGGATGCATTCAACCTTGAAATAAAACTCAGTTTCTTAGAAGCAAGAATAATTAAAAACTGGGACAACTTACCAGGGTTGTGAGAGGAGGTGGTGAACTCAGCACTGGGTAGAGTCTTAAAATGGGACAGCAGAGACTGCCTATGCCTGAAGAAGGATGACTGCGCCTGAAAGCTTGCCAAGAACATTTTCCATCTACTCAGTTGGTCTAATAAAAGATATCACATCTATTCAAAGAACCGTGCCTGCCTAGTTAATCATTGTAATTGCTGATCAATAAGGTATTAACGTTCAGTTACCATAGTATTTGATCTTAGTCTATTTAAAATGTGGGGTAAATGATTGTTAGGTAATTAATCTTGTAGACAATATTGTAATGCACATGAGAATAAAACTATTAAACTTGTATACAAGTTTGCAAGAACAGACTGTAAGATGAAGAGTATATATGTCCGTAAACTATTTAGACATGGGGATGAATATCTATAGATGTTTATTTCAATATTTGACTTGAGGTTAGTGTCTGAGAATGGACAGTCAGATCTAAATAGATCTATGTTGCTGATCATCAAACACTGAACCACTGTGAAGGATGTTGCACTGTACTAATAAAGCTCTACTTCATTTTGGAATTCTCTAGCAAAAAGAGCTCAGCCCCAAACTGCTAGAGAAGATACGAGCAAGCAATTTATCACGTGTGCACTTTCTTTTTGTGGCTGCTGACATACCTAGAGAGTTGTCCCACAAACATTAAAGTTTGCCTAGATCCTCTGACACACACATGCTTCTGTGTGCAGCCTGTTATGTTCTGAGGGACTATCTGCAAGCTATCCAGAACAAGGAAGCATATTAGTAGATTATAACTCAGAAATGCAAATCCTACAGTTGTCTTATGTGGCTCCAGGCAACAGAAGAAACAAATTGCTGCTCTAATACAGAAGTCCTAAGACCAGTTTCAACATTTTAGATTTTTAAGTCTGTAATATATAAGTACAACTAAAGGCCCTGAACCTGGATGCTGATACTTCTAAAGAATAACTCTGGCCCAGTTATCTAATCACCTGCCTGCTAGAAAGACGATCTCTGCAACTTCAGCTCCTATTGCTGTAAAGCAGGGGTGGGCAAAATGCAGCCTGCGGGCCAGATGTGGCCCGCCAGGCCATTCTATCTGGCCTGCGGGGCCCCTAAAAAATTTAGAAAATTAATATTTATCTGCCCCTGGTTGCCTGTCATGTGGCCCTTGATGGCTTTCCAAAACTCAGTAAGTGGCCCTCCACCCAAAATAATTGCCCACCCATACTGTAAAGCCTGGTTCTAGCTATGTGTATACAAAGCTGCATATAGTATTGCCATAAAACCAGAAAAAAGTTCTTACCTATGTAAGGTATTTATTTATCTTTGTTTGTTTCTTGAATTCTGTACATATGCTTGCTATACACACTTAACAATGTGCCAATATGTTAATAGCTTCTAAAATACAAATAAGGTCTATATGAATAATGCATAAGATATAAAATAAATCATTCTTTTATACTTGCAAAAAAGTCTAAAAAGAAAAAAAAAATGACCTAGATTAGGAACGTACAGGTATATTTGTGGCATTTTGATGGTGGGGGGAGCTTCGCTTGCACCCACATTTGAGTGTTGGGGCTGATTGGCTGGAAGCTATGTCCGTGCTGGGTTCTTTTGGCCTATGGCTCTGAAAAGTTGCTGAATGCTAACCCATGGAAACAGCTGCTAGTAAAGATGAATCAGTTGGTCTCTGTTACTTTTTCTGTGTGTCTTTTTAATATGTGGGGTTCTTTAGGTATCAGGACACTGGTTGCTCCTATAGAGGAGTTTTGCTTCACTCTTTGAACAAAGAAGAGTTAGTCCCTGCTGAAACAGGAATTTGGCAGACTGATTATACCACTTAACTGAATGCTGGACTACGAGATGACACAGCATCTTATAGTTAAAATATACTTACTCTTACTGTGGATTAAGTTTCTTTTGTCTTTTTGTTTCTTAGGGATTATAAAATATTATATCACAGAGATGATTATTCAGCCATCAGAGAAAAGATTTGTCATGATACCACGGTATTAAATTTTGATTATGCACTCAGTCTTATTACTTGAAGAATACTGTCAACTGGTAAAAATGTAACTTTTGAATAGTAATTTTATTATATTTTATTAATAAATATTATGCTGATAAAGTATTTGCACAATTATAATCACAAACTCAGGAAATAGTAAAGCAATATTAATTCACTGATGTTGGGCCAGAGGTGGGCAACCAGTTTGATCAAGGACTTTGAAAGCAAATCATATGAGGAGAGGCTGAAGGAGCTAGGCATGTTCAGATTGCAGGAAAAGTGCTTAAGAGGGGACATGATGGCAATCCTCAAATACTTGAAGGGTTGCCATAAAAAAGAGGGAAAACACCTTTTCTGTCTTGCTGCAGAGGAGAGGACACGGACCAATGGCTTGAAGTTGCAGCAAATAAATTTAGATTACATATCTGGAAAAAACTTCTTCGTTGTTAGAATAATGAGACAGTGGAACAGATTACTGAGGGAAGTTCTGCACTCTCCATCACTGGAGGTGTTCAAGAAGAGGTTGGACAGCCCCTGGTTGGAGATGATCTAGGCATAGATATGCCTACGTTCTGTTATGCTTCTGGGCTTTGCTGATTGCCTCTGCCCCACCTCTTCTGCTATATGTGTTGGAATGGTTTTCAAGTCTGCCTCAGAGGCATTGGGCATTGGCTACAGCCAAGACTAGGGACTTTGAGTGAGGGGTGCTAATGCTCCTGTAGGGACCAAAGCTGGAGGGTCCTAGCTAGTGGAGGGTCTTGCCCCTCCACTCGGGTTAGACAGATTGCCGTATTTGGGGGCAGATTGCTATGAACCATGTTGATTTTTGCCTTCCTCTATAGCAGGGGACATGCCTTCTACCTGGGATCTGTTGAGCATTTAGGCTGTGTGTAGATGAAATGAGAGGCATGTGTGCACGACACTTTAAAGCAGGCTAAATGCTTTTGCACTGAAAATGGTGTTGGTGTTTGCACTCCTTGGCAATGTATTGCGCATTAATTCCAGCCACTGTAGGAAGTTCGGCGGCACAATGCACCTTAATTGACTTGGGGCACAGCAAACCAAAACTCCTTCAAGGAGTTTTAGTTTGCTGCCTCTATAGCTGTGGAGCGAAGCACCGGGCTCCATGATTTGCAAAGTAGACTGAGTGATTTCAAATAGGACTCCTTAGTGTTAAAAAGTTATGATCTTTTGTAGTCTTTCTGAGTTCTTTGGAACACAGAAATTGCTTTGTTATTTTTCTGTAGTCAAGAAAAAAGTGAAAGCTGAGTTGGCATTTTCTGAGGGGTTCACTGAATCTAAAAAGGTTGAGAACCACTGATATGCCCTTCTACTGTTTTGCTTTTATATAAAGTAATTTTGCAGGGTAATGTGTATTGCCAGGGCTATATGTCTTTCTTTGCAACAGTAGGTATTGGATTGTGTTAAATACAGAATATTAGATTCGTGAACCATGGACCTGTTCAAGCATGACAATTCTTGCTAAGCAAGAAAGGGAAAGTACTCCCTCTCTTTGGGGGAAGGTTGTGGATTCAGCATTTTTCTCTTCATAGAGTCAGTATAGGTATAGTGATCAAATTTCCAAGTAAAATTGACACTGAGGAAGAATCAAACATCAGGTATTTAAGGTTTAGTTTGCACTTACTGGGCATTAGCTTATTTTGCAAATCATTGTTATTATAAAAACATATTCTAAAGAATGCTTTATTTTAAAACAGGTCTCAGTTTGTACAGAGCATTATAGCTCAGTGTCTTGTGGAGCTGTCCTCTTCTAGAAGCACATTTAGGTTCAGCATACAAGGACATGATGGAAAGGTCTACACCTTGGTAAGACATTTTTAATTTTATAGAAAACATTTCATGTGTTTGTATTCATTTATTTATTTTTTATATTATGCTTTTTATGTGAATAAAGGAAATGAGATAATTCAGAGGATTGTTCAGATTATGCTTTTATGCATCTTACCCAATGCTGTTTTTGTTTGATTATGAGCTTGCTACAGTGTAATGTCTTAAATCTTTTTACTCAAAATAAAAACAAAACCAAAAAACCTCATAAGAATTTCAAGTAGTCTAAACCACCAAATAAACCATGTGTTATCTTTGACTGTACAAGCTCGAGGGTATTGAAAATATTCCTTAATACCAGATTTACCAATCTGGTAGATTTGGGTACACTTCTCTTCCCAGAAATGTCAAAAGTAGCTTAGACTTTTTCAGCAGGTTCTGGGACATAGCTGCTTATCCTTCTTCCAGGTAATCTTGTCTTTTGCAGAAAGACAGATGTTCAGTGCCCCACCTTACTAGTGTTGGGTTTTTTTTAAACTTGATTTAAACCATCAGCAAACATTTTTTTTCCTTCTCTATTTCCCCTAGAGGGCACCAATAACTCTGGGCTGTCCCCTTTGCACAGAGCCAAGTGCTTAAGCATCCTATTTCCATCAACCCCATTTTGTTTGTGATGAAGCAGTCAAACTAATGGTAGGAAGAAAGCCAAGAAATGCTCCATTTATAGAGTGAACAACAGGAGAGGAGGCTGTGCTGCATATATTCCCAGTTAATAGACCACTACCCTCTATATTTTCCCAATTCTTTCACTCTAATAAGTACAAAAATATTGTAACTAAAATCTTGGACTGACCTCTTTCTCAGTACAACTCATCAAGTTCCATTTACATCATTGTCATGGTTGAATAGTGTAGTGCTCTTGTCAATTTAAGTAGCAATAATTCAGCTTATCAAGATAGTTTTGTAAGTATTCATTCTGTGCATGATGCACAGTCAAACCTTGAAGCCTTGTGGACACGTCTGTACTGTCTCCAGCATTTGTAAGAAGGAAGGCCCACATCTGGGACAGGGGCAGAGCTCAAAATCACAGGAGTGAAATTACTGGGTAACTTTTTCCCCCTTGTTGTAATTATTATTAAACACACAAAGTTACTTTTTAATCTTATTTGTAGCAAAAATGCCACACTTGAGCACAGATTCAACCAAGAAAATATCAAGCAATTAAGTTTTTGGTTGATGGGTAATATCTCACTTTTAAGTGCTAAAGATGCTTTTGGGTTAAGATCACTTGGGAAAGGTTCAACACTTTGCAGATTCTTTCATGGGGATTATTCTCTGCACCAAAGGCTACCAGTACAGTATTGATACATATGCTGCATTGCAAAGCAGATTACAAATAATAACAAATCACCAATTAACAGTAGAACAGCAGTTAACAGGCCCAAATTCTAACTAACCATAAAAGGCTAACTCAGCAAGGGGAGTAACTGTTTTTAAAGTTGAGATTAGTCTAGTCCCTCTCATGCTTAAAGTGAAAGTGAGTTTCAAAGCCTTTGATTGTATTGACCAGTATCAGGCACTAAAATCACCCAGAATGCCTCTGTTGCCCCCTCTCTCAGCCTGTTGCATATGGTCAGTATGTCTCCACACTTCATGAGATGGAGCCAGATGAGGTTGCCCTGTGCCTCATTTGCATATAAATTTGTGGAGGATCTCAGGACTTATGACAAGAATACTCTGTTCCAGTCATGACTGGGGGCTAATTAGCACATGGATCCTTTGTGGGGGGTATCTGGAGTACAAACACATGGATCTTTGGCAGGGGGAGGTATCTGGAGTCCATAGATACTGGGCAGTGGTGCGCTATGGAGTCAGCGTGGCTTGAAATGCTGTTGACTCTGCTGAGACCCAGCGCAGTTTACTACATGGTAAATCATGAGCCTTTTGGTTTTAGTTTAATATTCTTCATAGTTTGTACTATGTGTCAGTAGTAGGGTTACCATATGTCTGGGTTTTCCTGGATATGTCCTCTTTTTGAGCCCTCTGATATCCATTCGGGCAGGTTTTTTTAAATCTGCCTAAACGTCCAGGATTTTGCTTTCCTCCTCTGGTGGGAGGAGGGGGGAGGGTGATTGGAGGCAGCAGGGAGCACAGGCGATATAGTTTATCACAGCAGGCGATTGGAGGTGCACGGAGACCCAAGTGGTACTCTCTGCTGCCTCCGATTGCCCTCCCCCTGCTTCCAAGCTAAATCCTGGACACTTGGTTAGAGCAGAGGGGTCGGGGGATTGGGCTGTGATAGGGCAGGGGGAAATGGAGTAGGGTAGGAGGGCTGTGTGCTCCTCCAGCGGGGGAAAAGGGGAGGGCCCTCTGAGGGCAGCAGGAAAGTGTGGCTGGCAGGCAACACAAGGACTGGTGCCTGTGCTTTGTGCTCACAGGGGCTGAGTGGCCAGGAGACATTGCCCGAGGGGAGAGGAGGAAGGAGGGGGGCCATGGTCAGGCTGCCTGGCCCAGTGCGGCAGCCTCATCACAGGGCTGGAGGTGCCACAAGCCTCCCTTCCTCTTCCCTCCAGCCCTCGATGGGGCCTGACACAGTCTCCCACCTCTTGCATGAACTGGAGCCATGGGACTCTGGCCCATCAGGACAGGGACAGCTGGGGCCCCACCGGCAGGGCTGGGGAGGGCAGGGGGCTGCGGGTTGGGAGTGAGGGGCAAGGAGGATGGGGGACTGTGGGTTGGGAGTGCAGGGGGCACTGGCAGTGTCAGGGGGCTGTTGGTCAGGAGTGAGTGGCACCATCATGGCCCGGGGGGCAGAGTACTGTGGTTTGGGAGTGAGGGGCACTGGCAGGACTGGGATGTGTGGGGTGGGAGTGAGGGGCAGCAGCAGGGCTGGGGGACGCTGTGTCTTGGCAGTGAGGGGCAACAGAATAGGCAGGGGCAGAACATCGGCATGTCATGGTGCCCCCCCAGGAGTATGCCCCCCCCCCCCCCCCCGCGGCCCCGCTCCGGCTTTTTCTTCG